CCAGGACTCTGGTTCTGGTTTGGCCCAGGTGTTACTTTCCTGGGAACCTAGGACTCTTCTTAGAATTTTTCTGGTACTAAAGTAGAACACAATAAAAAAAAAAAAACACTAAGTGCACATCATGTTTTAATTAGTGAAACAAAGTTAGAGGTCCTCCTGAGAAAGGGCCCACCCCATCAGCCTAGCCCCAGCCTTTTCCAAGACCTGCCTCTCCACCTTCCCTAAGCGCAATGGTTTGCTGACCCTAGCCTCAGTTTTCCCATCCACTGTATAACAGGGTGAAACCCATGCCACTGACAATCCACAGAGGTACCCCCTAATCTTGCCAACCTAGTAGGAAAAAAAGGCCCAGTCTGGTACCTTAGAAAGACTGGCAATAGCTGTAGATTGGGGCTGGATTTGGGGGACCCTCAACTAGAGAAGTGGTGAGTGATACTATATTCTGCAGGGCTTAGGTGGCCTAGGAAGCTCTCAGCCACAACCCACACATACTGGGACAGAGCAGAAAGGGAGTCCTGGAGCTGCGGAGGGGCTAAGGCAGCCCAGAGGCTGTCCCAGTAGCTGTCAGCACTGGGCAATAAGAAGGAGATCAGGACTTCTGGATAGTGTGAAGCTGCTCTACTCTGTCACTTTTGCTAGATGACCTTGGAGAAGTCACTTACCTTTACTGGGCCTCAGTTCTCCCATCCACAAAATGGGATAATTACATTCTTCCTGCTTTGTCTCTCAGGATTATGGGAAAATTGGAGAGATGATGAAGTGAAGAACATGTATATGAAAAATACAAAGGACTTGGGCTTGGTGCAAGCCAGATGATAAAGGGCCGTGGGGTTGAAGAACCTCAATGGGATAGTTCCCCTGGAATTACTACCTCTCCAGAAGGAGTGCGGGACATCCTTCTGTGGCCGCCAAGATGGCCACCCTGGCTCTTAGGCAGGCAGTAAGCTGGGTGTGAGAGAGGAAGAGCAGCCACAGCAGCCAGAGTCAGGAGAGGGATGAGTGGGCAAGGGGAGAAGAGGGGAGTGCAGTTTTCCTAGCTGAATCTTCTGCACATCGATCCCTGCTTGAGAAGACAATGACACAGCCGCCTTCCATGTGAAAGTTGCAATCATGTCATTTTCCTCATCCAAAGCCTCAGCTTTCTTACCTGAAAAATGGAATGATGGAAGTTCTAGGCATGCTTAAATTCATCTCAATAAATGTGGCTGTCATTTTTCCATCTCTGAAACCAAGCAGGCTCCCAGGGCCAACAGCATACCCTTCCCCCAATTTTCCATCTGAGTTGCTGGAGAAAGGCCCAAAGCACCTTAGGGACAGAGCCCATGGGTTAGCTGGGGGAGGATGTCTCCGCTGGTCAGAGGCTCCTTCTCACCCCACAGCTGCTGGGATCCTTTCTATCCCCGAGTTCTGCGCTTCCAGAGGGAGGACAGACACCTGGCTGAAGGACCAAAGGGAGCACTTTTTCCCTGCTAGCCACAGCCAGCAGGGGAAGGAAACACCAGCACCTGTCAAGGCCCACAACTCGTCCACCGCACAGAAGAGGCCTGCCCTCCTCAGGAGAAAGGAAGCAACAGGGCACCTGTGTTCAGCTGGAGAAGATCAAACCCATCCACACTTCTGAAGAGAACAGCATGGAAGGAAGAGGCACCTGCTGTGGGGTCTGAAAGCACAGTTGGCCACAAGCCCCAACTCACCCCAGCTCTCCAGCTCAGGTCAGGTGGAATGACCCCTACATCCCCCTTCCCTGCCTGTTCCCAGACAGCTCCCTCACCCTAGGGAGCCTCCACAAGCGTCCCCCCCTCCCTTATTCCCTCTACTCTCTCTTCTTTTTATTTTTTTTTATTTTTGCAGAACCGGGGATTGAACTCAGGCCCTTGCGCTTGCCAGGGAAGCGCTTATTCCACTGAGCCATCTCCCCGGCCCCTCTACTCTCTCTTCTGAACCCTGATGGCACTTTGCCTGCCCTTCACAATAGCAATTCACCTACATCACCAGCACACTTCTATACGTTTAGCCCTCCTCTGGGGTAACAGGTGAGGACAATGAGTTCCTTCGCAGGTTCTGGAGTTGGGCAGACCTGAACTGAAACACTAGGTTTGTGGTTTCTCAGCCATGTGACCCTAAGGCAGGCACTTATCCTCTCTGAGCCTCAGTTTGCTCTAGAAAATGGGTTCAATAACATCACCTCCTCCACAGAGCTGTTGCAATTAAATGAGATAATATAGCTGAACATGGTGGCACTCAGCTATAATGGGATACTGAGGCAGGAGGATTTGAGGCCAGTTGGGTAACTTAGTAATTTAGCAAACTTCTGCCTCAAAATGAAAATTTAAAAAAAAAACAGAAAACTGGGGATGTGGCTCAGTGAAAAAAAGGTCCTTGGTTCACTCCCCAGTGCCAGGGGCATGAGAGATGGGGCACAGAGTCACTTGCACAAAGGGAGAGATCAGTAGCGTAACATTGGTCACAGAGATTTTCCAGGCAAGCTCATGGATGATATGTCTTTACATCTCCAGAAACATCCAGCACAGCCCTGGACCCTGGATGGATGGGCGGATGGGTGGGAACAAAGGCAGATCCATGGGTAGTGTGAGAAAGCCCTTCCCAATAGGCAGATCCGTGCAACCTTGGGTCTCACTACCCCTGCAGGTCATGAGCTTCGTGTCACAGTGGCATGCAAGTGGAGGAAGGACAGCTACTTGGTCTACTGAGCAGGGGTAGAAGGCATAGTGGGCACAATGTGGGCTCTGAACCTAGATTCCTTGGGCTTCAGTCCCAGCTCCTCTTCTTACTCAGTGTGTGGACCGGGCTGCACCTGAGTTTTCACGTGATGCTCTGACACTCAGAAGGGCAGTAAGAAGGCACTGGGGGAGGTGGAAGCAAGTCCCGGCCCAGCCTGGATAACTTAGAAACTTAGTGAGATCTTGCCTCCCCCAACAAAAAGCCTCAGAGACATAGTTAAATATGAGGGCCTTAGGTCAACCTCAACCCAAAAAACAACACAAAACAAACAAACAGAAATAGAATGCAGATAATTCACCCACATTCCACATTCAGACAGGGACATGGAGTCCAGGGCCGCAGAGCAAGTACTCGAATGTGGGGCTTTGACCTGCAGGCCAATGGCCTCTGCTGTGCCAGGCTGCCTATGAAGATCTGTTCCCTCTCGTACTTCCTATCCCTTCAGTAAGCGGATGGTGGTTCATACCTGGAGTCTCATCTTTCTTGGCTCTGAGTCCTGTGGAGTTGCCTGCCTCTAAGCCAGGCTCCTTGCAGGGCTTTGGGGGAGGGGTGCTGGAGGAACATGTGCGATAAGTGTACAAAACGACCTCTGCCTCCTCTTCTCGAACCCTCTCCCCTCTCGCCTAACACACTGCCCATATGTCAGAGAATGGCCAGGCAGCCCCCTCCTGGGAACTTCGAATCCATCTCCTCTGTCGGGGCCGCACTATGGCTGTGGACAGAGGCTGCCTTGTTCCCTGTGCTTCCTGCTCAGAGATCTCCGCGGGGCTGTGTCCTGGCAGGAAAGAGGCAAATCACTCTTTAACTGGAGCTAAAAGCACCCCTACCCCCTCTACCCAGGAATAACGTGCTTCCAGCTTTGTTCATCATTCATTCTACCTGCCCCAGACTAGCTCAGCCCTGCCCCACAGTGTCCCAAAGTCACGCCAGTGTGCACACGTACACACACACACACACACACACACATGCACGATCAATCCCCTCACATCTATTCAAAACGAAAAACCAGAGGATTCTAGAATGATAATATCATGTCCCTGGCAGTGATGTCTTACTAAGAACACCACAATGACATTTGCGTGTTACTTTGTAATTTTTCAGCCAATATAAGTTCCCTGGCTTGGTTCCTTCTCTATAGCCTCTTCTTGCCAGAGTCACAAGGGCCAGCCAAATAGCTCAGCAGATTAAAGAGCCTGCAAGCTGTCTCAAGGGCCGGGGGTTCAATCACCCAGCGGGCTGGCTGTGCCGGCCCCGTCCCCAGGGCATGCTGAGATGGCAATTGAGACTGGGCATGGTGGTGCACACCTGTAAACCCAGCTCTTGGCAGGCTGTAAACAGGTGGATCACCACAAGTCCTCTCTAGTAGTGAGACCCTGAACATTTTGTAGACCCTTCCCTAAAGTACAAAAAAGTATAAAAATAAATAAAATAAATCAATAAAAAAAACAAACCAGAGTCACAGCACAAAGCAAAGGAAGGTTCCAAGATAGCGTGATGGTATGCGCCTGTAATCCCAGCACTTGGGAAGCTGGAAATAGGAGAATCACTACAAATCCAATCTGTGTAGTGAGACCCTGTAGACCCTGTAGACCTTGCACTAAATAAAAAAAATAAAAAAAAGGAAGTTTCCATGGCTTTGTTTGGGAATTACTGAGGCCTGAGGAATTAACAAATTACAGTCCCCAGACCTACCCCAAATTCAACAGAAACTATAGCCCCTTGTGTTATTTTGTACTTTGAGATTCTTGGCGTTCATTTGAAAAGTGGATTCCCCTGCTAGAAAATTTGATTAAAAAACAAAACAAAAAACAAAACACCATTAGTCCAACCCTATCTTCTCCTAACTCCTACCTGGATAATGAATAATGACCCTGAGGCCAAAAGAAAGGGACATAATAGCAGTCAGTGGCTGAGCCAGATGGAAAACATTCTCCTAAGTCTACTCTACACCTGGGAGCTGTTTACTAAAAGAAAGCAAGGCACCAGGGCCTGCCAATCTGGCTTCCCAGCCTGATACCATTTGGTGCCAGCCTTGGTGGCATGGATAAGCAACACAGAGCATGCTGTCAACAAAAATGCTTGGTGAATGTGCTTTTCAGCTCTTACCTCAAAACAAGCCTGAACCAAGGAGGGCCCTCAGCACTGTCCCCTTTCTCAACACCCCCAGAAACCTGAGGCCAGATCAACCCTCAGCCACCCCAGCAGTTAAAACACATCCAAATCGAGAGCCTGAGGGCCTGAAGGCCTCTTTGCCAGACCTCAGCAGAAGCAGGAGACTCTGGAGCACTCAGCCCTCCTCGGTGCGCACCGGCTCCCTGGAGAAGACGTCCTCAGCCAGGCACCTGGAAGGAGGAGACAGTGTTAACTCCTCCACACAAGCCCTAGGCCCAGTGTGGGCTGGCGACTGAGAGGCTGGCATTGGGCTCTGGAGGGACTTCATGGAAGTTGCTGAACCTGTTACACAGAAGAGCCGGCCATGAGACTGAACACAGCAAGAGGGACGGTAATGAATCTGAAGCTGCAGTGGCCCACAGGGGCCAGGCCTGAAAGGGCTCTGGGACACCCAGGGGAAGGTGAGCAAGGGAAACCACTGAGTCTCAGTCTCAGGGTACAGAAGGGACTGCAAAGGGGCAACAGGGGCTCTGAGAGAACCAGCCAGTAGGTAGGACAAAGGTGAGACTGGGATGGTTGCAGAAGAGACGAAACAAGATTTCAGAGACACTCAAAGGTGGTAGCCACAGACCCTGCTGATGCACTGCATGGAGGAGGCTGAGGGATAGCAGGGACCATACCCTTGGAGCTTCCTTCCACGTCAGCCCAGTGGTCTCTAGCACCCAGGAGAAATTAGACTCATTGCTTTCTCAACCTACCTATCCTGCCTTGATCTTCCCCTCTGTGAAATAAATATGGTTGAACTTGGTGATCCCCAAGTCTTTTTCACTGTAGTACTCTGGTCTGGCAGTTTTTGCACACGGTATTTAAGCTCTTTGCCATCTCTTTTCAGCCCCAACTGCAGGCCTGGGCTGGTATGCAATGGACATGAGAATTACAGGTAAACATCTCTGAACTCATACACACAGGAGAATCGATCTCCAGGAGGGAAAGAAATTTAAAAAAAGAAGGAGGGG